ACGTTTTGGTTCCCTGTTGCTTTCTTTTACATTTTTTTCTCTTTGAGCTGCCATTTTCGTTCTTCTATTCTCTTCTCTGGTTGTGGAACTTGAATATTTACATTTGAAGAATACATTGCATTTTCGTTTCTGTTGTTTCTTCCTTGCATTTCCGTTTTCTTTCTCTTCTCTGCCTTGCATTTTCATTTTCTTTCTCTGCCTGCATTTTCGTTTGTATTTTCGTTTGTGTTTCTGTTTTAATGGAAGGCTAAAAACCCTTGGGGTTGGTTCCTTGAGCAGATTGCAATATCTATTTGAGGTTTTATTTGTATTTGAATCTGTGTTCTACTGGTTCTTCTTCATTGAACCTTTGAAACGTTTTTGATAGCTGTTCATGCTTAATGAATCAGGTTGCTCACAAGTTGCTTAATCTTGTGGGGAGGTTTAATGTTGTATACGCTTGCTTAATTCATGTAGGGAAATCTTGAGTTAATCTTCGCTTAGTTGGTTAACTCGGATGGAACAAGGATTAAGTTATGAACAGAGAAATCTTTTGAGGACCAGGGATAAAAGAGCTGCAATCTGAAAAGGGAACCAATCCGTTTTACTTGCTGTTTTATTTTCGTTTTATTGTGTAACCAACTGAAAATCCGAAAACAAACCCCCCCACTGTGTGTTTAAGTCTTTAACAGTAAAAGACGGTCCTTGGGAGACGACCTAGGAGTCACTTCCTAGTACTACATTTAATTGTATTTATTTGACCGGATACGGCTTTGATCAAATTTGGCGCCGTTGCCGGGTACCATCGGTTCCTGTTAAAGGCTGTGTGTTATTTGTTTTTGTTGTGTGTTTAGTGTTTTAGAGTCCTTGTTATGTTATGTGTGTTTTTGGTGTAGTGTGTTTTAGTGTATCAGTATATCAGTTTTAGTGTATCAGTGTTTGTTTGTTTCAATTTTGTATGAATTTTGTGGTGCTTGCATTTTTGTGTCTCATTACATGTTATGTTGTGTATTTGTGTTTGTTATTAGTCTCCCCAGGTGTAGCAAGTAAGCCAGTTGAAGAATTAGAGAGAACCAATGAACAGTAAACCAATGGAACAGTAACTCAAATTTGGTTTTTGATGCATTTGTTTGCTGTCATGTGTTTGTCATAGCTGATCTTTATTGCATTTGATAGGCCATTGTGACCAATTATATTGATTCCATTTGGTGTGCTGAATCATTGTTGTGTGTGTTGACTTTCAATTCTGGTGCATTTCGTGGTGCATGTGGTGCAAAATCTGGTGCGTTTTGGCTCAAAATCTGATGCGGTTTTGCTCTGTTTTGGTGCGTTTTCTGGTCCGTTTTGGTGCATGCTCTGTTTCGGTCTTAGCATACTCTGTTTTGGCTGTCTACTACTCCTCTGTTCAGGTGCCAAAAATGTGGGAAATTGGTGTGTAAGTGTTGCAAAATGTGGTGCAATTTGGTGCGCGTGAATAGTGCTGAATAGTGCCAGAATTTTCCAATTAATTGTGATTTTTGCTTTTGATAGCTAGACTTGTTATTTTTGTCTCATTTTTTTTGTGGTAACTTCTTTCAACCTATATTTTGTGTAAAAAATAGCTAGGGCACCCAATTTGGTCAAAATTTGGAGATACAAAATTTAAAAAAAAAAATTTCAGCAAAACTTCAAAGGGCCATAACTTTGGCTCTGGTTATCGGAATTAGACAAACTGTTTTTTCATTTTGTGTAGAAAATAAAGATCTATCAAACCCACACGGCCCCAGCTAGATCTTCCAAAAAACGTCGTTTACTATTTCTTTTTATTTTTGAAGTTTTATTTCATTATTTTTCCAAACTTTTCTAATTTTTTTTAAAATAGTTAGGTTTTGAATTTTGTTGTCAACTTTTTTGTGGTAGTGTCTTATGGTTTTAGGATGATGTTGGTGCATTAGTTTTAATGGTTTCCAAATTTTCATGAAAATTCTAATGATTTTTGTGGTAGTTTCTACTGTTCGCGGTTACTATTCATGCATGTGTTTCATGTAGTGCATGACTAGGAGCACCCCTGATTTTTTGCATCCATTTGATCCTGAGATTGATAGGACATTCCATAGACTAATTAGAGAACATATCATTCAATCTTTAGATAGTGATAGTGATAGTGATAGTGATAGTGATAGTCATAGTCATAGTGATAGCCATAGTGATAGTCTTAGTGTAACTGTTGCATCTGAGCTTGATTCAAGTCAACCAGAAAACATGGGTGAACAACCTTATAATGGACCCCGTGAGAGGACTCTTAGGGAGATGTCTGCACCTGATTTTACTTATGAGAGTTTGTGCATTTAATATTCTGAAGAAGATGTTCCTTTTGTGCTTAAAACTGGACTAATCCATTTGTTGCCCAAGTTTCATGGTCATGCAGGTGAGGATCCACATAAACATCTGAAGGAGTTCCATATTGTTTGCTCTACCATGAAGCCTCCTAATGTTTAAGAGGATCACATTTACCTGAAGGCATTTCCACATTCATTGGAGGGAGTTGCTAAAGACTGACTGTATTATTTGGCTCCCAGGTCCATCACTAGCTGGGATGTTCTGAAAAGAATGTTTCGGGAGAAATTTTTCCCTGCCTCAAGGACCACTGCAATTAGAAAGGATATATCAGGGATCAGGCAACTTGGCGGAGAGAGCTTGTATGAATACTGGGAGAGATTTAAAAAATTATGTGCAAGCTGTCCCCACCACCAGATTTCTAAGCAGCTCCTATTGCAGTACTTTTATGCGGGCCTGAATAGCATGGAGAGAAGTATGATTGATGCTGCCAGTGGAGGAGCTCTTGGTGACATGACTCCGGCTGAGGCTAGACACTTAATTGAAAAAATGGCCTCCAATTCTCAACAGTTCAGCGCCAGGAATGATGCTATTGTGCTAAGGGGAATTAATGATGTAGCTGCTGATTCTTCTTCATCTGCAGATAGGAAGCTTGAGGGGAAGCTTGATACCTTGGTCAGTTTAGTCACTCAACTTGCCATGAACCAGAAATCTTCATCTACATCTGTGGCAAGGGTTTGTGGCATTTGCACGTCAAATGACCATCATACAGATTCGTGTCCATCATTGCAGCAGCCTTCTGATGTTCATGGTCCTCAAGCCTATGCTGCAAATATCTACAATAACAGACCAGCGCAGCAACAACAGCAACAAAATTACGATCTATCCTCCAATAGATACAATCCTGCTTGGAGAAATCATCCCAACTTGAGGTGGGAAAATCTCAACAACAGCAGCAGCAAAATCCACCACCTTTCTAGAACCATCCCTCAAGTTCTTCATACCAGCCCCCTCAACAGAGACCTCCTCTTGCACCTGCAGCCCAACCAACTCAACCTTCTACTTCTAAGACTTCATTGGAGGAGTTGGTTAGGCAGATGACCATTCAGAATATGCACTTTCAGCAAGAGACCAGAGCCTCCATTCAGAGCTTGACCAATCAGATGGGGCAGATGGCTACTCAACTCAATCAGGCACAGTCTCAAAATTCAGATAAGTTGCCTTCACAGACTGTGCAGAATCCGAAAAATGTGAGTGCCATCACATTGAGGTCAGGGAAACAGATTGACACACCCACTGCAGTATCTCCACCTCCATCTGCACCTGTGTCAGTGCCATTACCAGTTCCACCATCTGCACCTGAGCAAAATGATGAGCCAGTTGGTGCTCAAAATTTTCATGCAGGTGGACCTTCTTCCAGCACCAATTCTGATTTACAACAGCCTCCTATCCCTCTTCCATTTCCTCATAAATTAATTCCAAGCAAAAAGATGGAAGAGGTGGATAAGGAGATATTAGAGACCTTTAGGAAGGTGGAGGTGAACATACCTCTACTAGACGCCATCAAGCAAATTCCCAGATATGCAAAATTCTTGAAGGAGCTGTGCACTCATAAGAGGAAAATGAAGGGCAATGAGCGAATTAGCATGGGCAGAAATGTGTCTACTTTGATAGGTAAATCTGTTCCTCACATTCTTGAAAAATGTAAGGACCCAGGTACTTTCTGCATACCTTGTATTATTGGGAATAACAAATTTGAAAATGCCATGCTTGATTTGGGTGCTTCTATAAATGTCATGCCTCTGTCCATTTTTAAATCTCTGTCTCTTGGTCCTATGCAGCCTACGAGTGTGGTGATACAGTTGGCAAATAGAAGTGTCGCCCACCCTACAGGTTTCATTGAGGATGTCTTAGTTCGGGTTGGTGAACTAATTTTTCCTGCTGATTTTTATGTGCTTGACATGGAGGAGGGATTCTCCCATGGTTCTGCCCCAATCATTTTAGGCAGACCATTTTTGAAAACAGCCCGAACTAAGATTGACGTGTATGCTGGTACATTGTCCATGGAGTTTGGTGATAGTGTTGTCCATTTTAATATTCTT